GGTTATGACAGGACAGATGAACGCAGGATAATTCTGAAATAAGGAACGAAATATAATCAATAGCAAAAGCGAGCCAACTAGGTAGTTGGTTAGGATCGTCATGGCGTAGTAAGCAGTGTCCAAGACTAGTCGATGACGTAGGTGTCTTCCATACGTTCATCTCGCTGTGTGGCCCTGCGTTTCTGTTTGCGACGGACGATTTCAACCGTCTCCGTGCGCAACTGGGGAATCCAATGATTTTAGAAATGTTAAAAAGCGGTTCGATGTCGATTTCCTCCGACTTCCATCCAAGTTACGTGTTTACCCTCCTGTCAGTGGTCAACGACTTCGCAATGAACACGGCTGCCTGCTCCTGTCGCCAAAACCCCAGCAAAATTGGTGCCCTATCTTCGGTGACCTCGACTGCTCCTTCCGTTGGAAGTGCGGCAGATGCGCGGCATATTTGCCACCCATGAATGAATGACCTACGAGTCATCGTGATCAATTTCGTGCCCGATGGCTGTTGTTCAAAAGTTGATCGCAGATCGGCCATAACTTACGCAACTGAAAGCACCCATTGTCTCCGTCGTTTGACCTGGTTTCTCAAAGCATGTCTGTCCGTAGTGAAATCAATAACCGCGAAGAAACTCGTTTCGGCAACTGGTACTAATTTAAGGCTTCATTAAGTTGATTTAGTTAAGGAGAACGATGAAAAACTGAGCGTAAGATCAGCGATTAATGAAACGAGTTAAACATGTCGCTGAAAGTTCTGACATGTTCCCTCTCATGGCGTTCAATTTGTGACGAATTCTCCTGTTTAATTCGTTGTGCCGATCAACACACGGGATAATAAGTTATTAGATGGGAAAAGGCAAATGGGGATCTTCGCTTTGAAATGGCGTTAAGTAGAAACCTTTCTTGTTGGTACTGGTCTCCGCCAAGGTTGCATTCTATCGGGTTGTTGATGGACAGAATAGTCAGACTAAGTAGAAGTAAGGTATCGACCGGTGATTTAGAATGGCCAGCGGCATGCCAAACTGTTTGTGTCTAAAGCAAAGCTGAGTCTAAAGTCAAGGCTTTTAGTGTTCCAGCAGATCCTCATTCTGATGCTCATCTACGGTCACGAGTGATGGGCCATCAATGGAAAACTTCAATCCCGGGTACAGGCAGTATAAATTGGCCCTTTGAAAACAATCGATGGGTTAAGGCGCCTCGACATGGTTCTGAGTCAGATTTTCGAGAGTGCTTTGAAATGCAACTGTTGCTTCTGCAGATATAGATGTTGCAGCTGCGATGACTTGCATATGTCCTTCGAATGGAATGGAAGAAGAAGCAGCTACTACTCGCCAAATCGACAGGCCAAGAATAACGTGAAGCAAGTGTATGGAAGGACTCCAGACCTCCAGACCCACTTTGCTGAAGCTCAAATGCCTACACAGGATAGAGACTGTTGGAAACACTGTTTGACATGTCTTTCTAAATGACCTGATTGGATGAGCGGCATAGAAGTTGACCGACTGACTATTAAGTTTCATGTTCTGCTCACAAAAAACTTTCGAGTGATGTATCATGTGAGGGTGAGGAATTAAATCAAGCAGATAACGCAGATGACTTCCTGCGATTATATAAACACTGACACCTGATCAAATGACTGAGTAAAAAATATTTAACGTTGCGCTGCATTGGTGGAACCTCTGGCTACAAAATGACTGCTATCAGCGAAACCGAAGGAAAGCTTAGGCGCCTTCCATTATGAGAGTACACAATGCTGTAATTGAAGAATGGGTTACGAAAAAATTCACAGTTTCTTCACAACAAGAGTGAAAGTTCCAGAAAACAATTCAATGTGATAAAATGCAAAAAATATCAATTATTTTTAGCGTTACTATGTAAAACTTTATTGCAAGAAACTGTACCAAGAAGTCGGTAGAATATCAACGTAAGTCTTATTGAAATCATGCCATGAGAAATCAATCTAATTAGCATTTAATGATGTTATAACTTCGAGAGACATTTTTCAGCCATCGACTTGTCCAGAAAT